AAGCCGCGTGTGCGCTGAGCGCGCGAACTTTTACCGCGAAAATTTATGGATTGTTTTCGCGCGCGCGCGCGCACGGCGATTACGTATGGTTTTTGTATGCATTTTGCTTGATGTATTACACACGCGAAAACGTTTACGGATATACGCAAGATGCTCACGTATAGTCAACGACGAAAGGCACGTCGATATATTTATTATTGTGTGTATACAAAAAAAGCTTCGAATCCGTTAAGCGCTCCTTCATACGCATCTACCTGTATTCTCGGAATAATGAACATCGCGCCGAGAGGAAAAATCGTCTCTTGCGCGTATACCACAGGTACAGTACGCGCGACACATATTTATATATCAAGAGGCTGCTCTGTGCACATATTATATACCAACAGGATGTGTATCAAACGGCTGCTGTGCTGCATCGGCGGCGATCGCGCGCAGGTCTTTGCCGCCGTATGTGCGTGCGTGTGTGAGAGAGCTGTGTAGCAGTTGGTACGACGAGGCTTTCGCGCGCGCGTTAGAGCCTTACTTACGCTCATGCGGCACATGCATTGCAGCAAAAGAGAGAGAGAGAGAGAAAGAGACAACAACGGGGAATAGTAGGCCTATAAGCGTCGCGAACAAAGTGCAGGCCGGTTTATAATATATATAAGAAAGCTCGTCGCCGAGTATTATTGTACGATATATACTCGAACTCGCGCACACGCCAGGTTTATATATCCTCATACCACTCGGTCTCGAGTGTGTTTATATATTCTCTATAGTATATGCGGCGACTTGGAGTAATATGCCTCGAAAAACTTGTTTCAAGACGACGACGACTGCTACGGTTTTATCCTTTTTGACGACGACGAGTATTATATCCCATTTATGATGTTGACCGAACAATGCGCCGGCAACAGCAGCAGCAGTACTGCACACAAGCTATATTCATATACACAGAATACATACATCTACGTACGGGCGCAGAAATTGCGTCGCGCCACATTGTTTTGCGGCGATCGTACGTGTGTATTTTATATAATACGCATCGCTTCGTTTCATATTTTACCGAAGAGAGAAAAACTCGTTTTTTCCTTTTTTTAAATCGAAACTATATCAAATAATTGATTTCTCTCTCGCGTCGCGCGCGTTTACCCCAATCCCAATCGGGACGATTGCTCTTCTTTTTATTCCCACACCGAATAAAATTCAAGTGTATAATTGGCGCAGTGACTTCGACGTCGGCAGCGGCGATACGATGAAGGAATATTTCACGCTGGTGTAATGTGGCATGTTTTTGGCGTACAATACTCATAATGAATAAGAGAGGCGCGCCCTTGACAATGAGACTGCGTGGGCCGATCGTCTATGTAATACAGCACAATCGTTTATTGCTTATTATACGCAGATATATAAGTACTTTCTTATCGAAGTCGTCTTGGACCGGCTTTCGCGATGCTTTTGTCTCGCCCGACGAAGAGAAAGTCATTCTCGATATATATAGTATAGAACTACCAACCTTTCGAACAAATATATATTTATACACGCGAATACAGCTTATATATTGTATTGTGTATTCGCCAACAATGAAAATCGTTTTGCATTCGCGCGCTCTGCTCTCCCTCTCCACCTCTTGCCCGACGCACACGCGCTAATAGCTTTCGAGATACGCAAAAAGGAGATAAAACAAAAATTGCACGTCGTCGTCGTCGTCGTCGTCGACGCTGTCACGCGGCGAACTTGAAAATTTTTGCTTTTCTCGCGCAAGAGAGTCTCCGTAACGACGAAATGCACAATGGAAGCGCGGAGAAGGGAGAAAAAGATTCTTTACGATGTTTGTTTCCAAGGAACGATATTGTCGCGTCCTCCTCATTTGCTCGCGCCGTGTAAGCGCACGACTGCACGCGGCGGTGCATTTACTAATATTATCGCATCGTATAATACACGCGCGGTTCTCGTCTTGACGCGCGGTCTAATTTGCGTACAGTGCCCCGTGTGTACTACCACTCGTCTCGGTCGTTTAAAGAAACCGATTCGACGAAACGAGCTTGCGCCCCTGTATACACGACGATATTATATAGGTATATACGTGTAATCGCCTAAACGTCAATATACACGCACGCGGAGCTTTGTTGTGCGCGTTGAGGCCTGTCAAAAAGTATATACAGTAATAAGAAGTTTGTGTGCGCGTACGAGCGTGAAAAGCGTCAACAGATCGTTTCTGTGTTATACCGTTGACATCTTACCGACATCCATCTCTCTCTCTCTCTTTCTCGTCGGAATTGCTCTCTTCAAATAGTTAAATAGAGATTTCGGCAAGATTATCGGCTATGCTCTCGTCGAGTTAAACGACGCGTGTGCTGTAGTAGACGAGGGCGGCATCGTCTTCGTGTACCGTGTTTCGCAAGCTGCTTCCGCTGGAACGCGCGCGCGCCAAATCCACGTGCTATTTATCCGAGTAAAGCAAAACACAAACAGCAGCCGCTTTGTATACGTATAAAGTTTATAGGTAGATACTTCGGACAAAAGCGGCGCTGTGGTATATAATACGGTATATGTATATGGCAACAGTAGCACCGCGGCTGCTGCTGCTGCTGCTGATGCTACTAAAACACAAGCCACCCACCAGAACCAGCAGCAACAGCAGCACACCCTCGGCACCTCAAGCGCGCACACACACACACAAGTTTTTTGCAGTATCGATCAGCGAGAGAGAATACAGCCGTGCGGCGCAGCAGCGGCAGCGGAAGCTACCCCCGCGGCGACGAGCTAGAGCTTCTGTCCTGGGAAAATAGCATCTCCTCTCCTGCGTCAGGAGTGGCTGAATCGCGTACTATACGCACGCGAGGAGTGTACGCGTATGCGTCTGTGTATTATATATATCACAAGCTCGAACTTGCGGAGCTCGACTCCTCAACTTTACGCCTCAATATAATGTGCTCTCTATGTTGGCGCGCTTATACGCTTTCTATCCCCCGCGCACGCTACTTGTATACCGTGTAGCAGTCCTAATACTCTCTGCCACGCGCGCCACAGGAATGACAATGAACCGTGTTACCTTTATGTGTGTACACACGGTGTAAGGATATATACATGTAGGCAGCCACAGAGCTGTATGATTTATTGGACTTTAAACGATTTAAACGTCCGCCCGTGGGCGAGTCGTTTTACTTTTCTTCTCTCTGTTTGTGTATGTTGGCGCTGAGATGCGCTCGATCGATTCTTATGCGTATAGGTATATGTAGACTCACGGGGAGAGCTGCAGTTAACACACTCTGTGTCCCCGGCGCTTTTCTTTCTTCATTAAAAAATTATCCTCTTCGAAACTCGATTACTCTTTTTTATTTATTCAATTACATCTATGTATCGTATCGAAATTATGTTCGCTAAAATAATTTAAGTAAAGGACGATCTTATCTGTATAAATGAACTCCGGAGCAGTGGCATGAACGATGATCGGTGGTGCCCATACCGCTGGCGCACCTGCGCCCGAAATTTCGACTGATTAATCCCCGAAACCCAACAGCAACAGCACGTGCTGCTGCGTGTCCGGGCCCCGCGCCGCCGCAGCAGCACGTGGGCCGCGCGGATAATGAAAAGAAAATCTGTGGCGCGAATCTTCTCGATTCTCTCTCTCTTTCTCCGCAAAAAAGTACACACCTGTCGGTCATTAGCTCCGCGCGTTGCGCACACAGGAACATCAATTATATCGATACCCTCTCGACGACGGTGCGGTGTATCTTCGTAATATATTATACTTTTTACATCGTATACGAGAGACTTGCCGGGCTCTCGTCGAGTCACGATTATTAGCGAAGCGACGCGAGCGCTCGCGCATGATTGTAAACTTATACGGATAGGCAACTTGTAACACAAATCGTACGAAGTTGGTAGAAAGACAGAGAGAGAGAGAGAAAGAGAGACAGACGCGGCCAACCTGTTCGAAGCGGCAAAAGCAAATTTGAATTGTAGATCTAATCGACTACATTTAACCAGTCGCTACCGGGCTTGATGAATGGACCTTTTGCCATGGATATAGAAAGAGAGACAGAGCTTTACTGCCTTCCTCAATTTGTGTAGACTTCTAGCAACTGCAGAGTAGAGAGAGAGTTTAAACCGCGACACGATCACATGACGGATTAGCAGAATAAAAGATTCATCGAGGCGTTTTACGTTTAAATGTTTTTTTTGCCATTTATAGTTTTCAATTCAATAGGATTGAAAAATCTCGCGTTTTATCCAATAGCCACGTAAAGAGAGAGGAGGCATATACTTCATTGGAATTTCGATGAATCATGTCTCTCTCGCGATAGGTGTTTGCGCATAGAATACAAAATTGAAGGAGAAACAGACTGAGATCGTTGCAAAAATATCTGTTTTATAATATGTGGGTATATTACGGATGAATTTTTGCTGACTCGCGTTTATAACGTCGTGCACGTGCGTGTTCGTATTCTCGTACACAGAAGTGTTTCCACGCAACGCCCTTTTTCGATGTACAACAAGCGCGCGCGACGACGGTGGTGCCCATTTTATTGCAAAGTAATCTTACTTCGAACGTGGAAGTTTGAAAGAGAAAAAAAAGAGAATCGAATGCAATAAGGAGCCTCTTACAATTTTTTTTTATCCTTCGCTGTCTCCTTCGAAAAATGAAGATACACCTCTTTACATCGTAAAATACATATCATTTTGCTGCGAACGATTTCGATTTATGGTAATAAGCGAAATATATATATTTCATTCATACGCGCTAAACGTATGTCATTTAACAAAAGCAGCGTCAAGATAGTTTAAACCTATTTATGAGTAATCTCAACATCTTTTATAGGTATTTAAATGTCCACAGATTAGCGTGCTCGAGTCAAAATGTCATCCGAGTGTATAACATCCAACGATACTTTTCTTTGCACACACACACACACACACATGCCGCACGCGCGAGAATTTATACACGCGTAGAAATAAGAAATTCAATCTTTACTGGCCTCTATCTAATTGCCGTTATTTACTTATTTTGGTTACAGAAGAAAAGAGCATGTCACATCACGCAACAACGACTTCGACGAGCCGTCGATGAGGCGTGAATCAATCGCCCGAATGGGTTAGTCAAAGAGAGGCCACATCGGTCAAGCAAGCGCGAGAGAGAATTTGGGATCGAAGAACCCCCAAAATAAGCGAAAAACACAAGGAAGAATGGAGGAGCCGGACCCGGAGACGTGGACCGCGTGGTTCCTCGACGCGATCCGCAAGATCCGCAGCCAGAAGCAGCGGCCGAGCGTGGAGCGGATCGCCCACGCGATCAGGCTGCAGCACGACTATCACGAGGAGGTCATTGCTGAAAATCTTCAGCTGGCCGTCAAGCGCGGCGACATCCTCAAGCTCTTCAACAAGGGCCAATCCTCCTACAAGGTTCGTGTACATCAACGCCAAATCCTTTGCATTACATTATTTCTATATACGTGTCTATCCCGCTCGAGTTTTGCGCGATTGGATCTGTGCTCGCGCGCGCGCGTCGTTATACGTACAGATTATGTAAAAAGGCGGAGAGAAATAAAAATGCCCAAAAGTGAACGGCGATCGGTTAAACTCGCTCCTCGTTGATCGAACGATTCGACGCGCGGCCCCGCATTCGAAACGACTAATATACTTTCGGAATTCAGGTTTAACATTCGATAAAGAGATATGTTATATATACAAGCCGAAACGAGACTGCAGATCTCGCTTTACCGTTCATTAATAGATGCCCGCGCTCGCGATATATATTATATGGCTCCGTGATTTTCCTTTCTTTGTGGTTTTCACTTGCGCGCGCGCGCTCCAGCGAGAGTCGTTTGTAAAATACACACATACACGTACTGCGGCCCGAGAAGTCGAAAAATCTCTGTGTCGAGACAACCGTGTGTGTGTGTACAGTCGTATATATTTTATATACATGTATATAAGGAAAAGTGAAAGTGTCGAAATTATTGTTGTTATGATTTCGAAAGCCATGATTTTATGCAATGATGGCGCGCGCGGGGGGTATCGGCTATCGATACGTCGCGGGCGATACATATAGTGTGACTCTCGTGTACTACAGCTATTTGTACATTACGTACGTAATAAAATTTTTATATTCAAATCCATAGCCGCGTCTATCTCGAGAATTTCCAAAAAAAAATAGCAGTCGAATAAATTATCGTCTCGCCGTACAGTAACACTCCCATTTTCCGAGAAAAAAATACTTTCTCTCTTTACGAGAAAAAAATTTTTTTCACCCTACGATTACATCAACGATACAATAATGATCTAAAATGTTTGCCCACCCCCCAAAAAAACAACAACAACAGGATCCCGGAGGCCTGCAGACGAAATCGCTGAAAGTCAGCCGCAACAGCGACCTATGCAAGCTCATCATCAAGGCGGTGCGCGAGCTCGGCGAGCGCGACGGCTCGAATCTCAAGAGCATCGAGAAGTACGTGAGGCAGAGCCACACCGTGGACGAGGAGCAGGAGGGCGATCTGCGGCTGGCGCTGCGGCTGTCCGCCAAGCGGGCCGTCGAGCGTGGCCTGGTCATGCAGGACGGCCGGCTGTTCAGGCAGGCCGACAGACCGGTCCACCTGGCCAAGAAATACAACGCGGAGCAGGCCAACAATCTCGAGATCTCAGCGCCCAAGGTTTGTTGTTTTTGCTTATTTCGATGATATGTATAACGATTTATTATGTATGATCCATGATGATGATACACGTTATTTGTATAAAGCCAAGTGAGGAATATGCTACCGAGTTACTTGGTTCTTTTGTATGATAATAATAATAATACGCTTGGGGTGATGATTCGACACGAATTGTTACCGACGAGATGATCGATGATTTTTTTCTCTATCGTAAACGAAAGATTGATTTAGAAAAAAGGTGTCTCTAATGGCGATAATCATTCGTACAAATCGACGCCGTGTTTTAATACTTGGATTTGTAAACGAATTAGCTAACCACTTTATTATCGCGGCTCGTTACGAAGCATGTGAAAATCGCAGAGTACGACCCGAAGCACGCGCGCGCGCGGTAAATAAGAAAAATGAAATGTTAATCTCTCGTACGCGTCGAGGAGAAAAAAACCGGTTTTATGCAACGAGAGCTCGCGGCGCGACATTATAACCAACGACCGAATGAACGATTCAATAATCCCTTTTACAAACTCTATACTATGCGCGCGTACAAGTATCTCTCGAGATTGACCTCGTCTCTTACTCTCAGCGTAAGGTTTTTCGGTCTTTTCTCTCTCTAATGAAGTATGAAAAAAGGAAAAAAAAAAGAAGCGAAATAAAGTGGCAAAAAAAGAAGCAACATGTGGAGAACATAAATATGCATGGCTACCCACGTATATATACACGTAGTTGTACGTGTACAGAGACAATAGCGAAGAGAGAGAGAGTCACCCGTGACCTGGATTCCGGGCAGCGGCGGCAGGGTATATAATAATCTCGAGTGACCTTGAACTCTACGTACCCACCGTAAATTTTCGTAGTTACGATAGACTGTTCGGAGCAGCAAAGGCACAACACCCCCTTCTGTGTGTATATTATACACACGCGCGCGCGCGCCTGGATGGTGCATCTCATTCACTAGTACGGCACACATACACACATGTACGGGATACATGCTTAATATTGCATAGGGAGAGAGCTCGAGAGGCCCATTAATTTTAGGCTATACGGTATGATTATATTGGTGCTTTAAATTGCCCGACAAACCCTCAAAGCTCCTTTTTAACGTTTCGCTTTTGCCTATTCACTTTGTGCCTTTTTCCTCTTTTATTGTTTTCTCTCTCTCTCTCTCTTATTTTTACATGTTCTCGTCTTGATGAATAGCGCACATATACGCGCACACACTTGACAATCCTCGCGACCTTCACCCATATTTTAGCCTGCTGCCTGACGCGCTTAAATCCTGCGGTTATTCGCTCCTTCGTTGTTGTTATTACTTTCCATGTTTATTCTTCAATTACTGCCGATATACTTTTTTTATGTAAGATCGACAAAAGCACGATCGTCGCACGAGACGGTATAAATTTTCAATCCTTGCCCGCAGTCGTCGCCACCGTTACCTCGCGTCGCGACGAATTATCAGGCTCTTTTATGTAGCATTAAAAAGCGCATAATCGGCGCGCGAGAAAAAAAATGAAAGTTTCTCATTATGTATATATCAGTGTATTATAATCGACGCTTACGAAATCGAGAGTTGCGCGCGAGCGACGTTAACACGCGACTCGCGACGCGTACACACGAATATATTATATATCATATTTACGATTAAAATCGCGTGCACGATTGCAAATTTTGTCAAGCGCATAATAATTAGAGGTATCGATCCTTCTGGCTTGCGGGTTATTAAATACGACGGGGGAAAAAATTCGAAAAACAAAAACCAAACGAGTCAATTGAGCAATTCAACGAGATGCGTATATACGCGCGTTAACTTTTAATACGTGATACGTTGTGGTGGCAGTGGCGGCAGCACGTTACATTATTGTTATAAACGTGATTGCGGCGCGTATAAGTAAATCTCTCTCTCTCTCCCCTTCTCGCGAGAAGGCGTCGTTCTGGGAGAGCAACTTTTACAGCCTTGGATCGAGCGGCAACTGCCCCTTACAGCACACACATACGCGCACACTTCATGAAGCAATGGCAGCAACAACTCAACTCATCGTGCATGCTGCACGGGTGAGAGTGAGTTAACCAGATTGAGAGAGAGAGAGAGAGCCCCGCGGGCGAGTTTTCTCTTTGCTCTGATTTTTTCGAATCTCTTTTTTCTCGCGCGCGCCTGTTCCGGTTGTTGTTATCGTGCTTGCAATATAACACTCTCGCTTTTACCGACTCTCGCGCAAGCACCACCATCGGCGCTGCGTACACGCGTCGTCGCGCACTCATAAATGCACGTTAATAGCAAGTCGATTCATTTTTCGCACTGATGTAAATAAAAATTAGTGAATTGTAATCGCGTTGCCGTAAAAAATGCATCTACGCACGGAAAAACTTCGAAGGTAGCTTACTTCTTTGCGCAAAGCTCAACGACGATAATCGAGGAGCACAGCTCGATCTTTGTCTGTGTCTGTGTTATGTATACGCATTACGTCAACGCGTCTCGTCGTGATTTTTCATCGCGCTGTCATCGCGACGATTAATTACATTTATATATTACACAGACACACGCGCTCACTCTCTGTCTCTTTCTCTTTTTGTACTTTTCTCTTGGTCTTGGAATGCAACATGTGCAGAATTTAAGCGAAAGATTACTCTCTCTCTCTCTCTTTCGCATTATTCTCTGCTACCAAGTCTCTCTATACAATAACAACGCGCGGATGCTTTAATGTCATTGCCCGAAATATTATATATAATATAATATTTTACAATGCGGTTGTACGCAAAAAGGAGGCAAAAAAGTAAGCGCGCATAGTTCCTCTACAAGCGTACGCGCATTAAGCTGCGAGGATTTGCGAGGGTGTAAGGGACTATTTTTTTTTTTTTTTTTTTTTTTTTTTTTTTTTTTCATATAAGCGGTATACATGTAGCGTCGAAACAAGTAGCCGCTTATTGATCTACCTTATGTGTACGGACGCACGCAGTACATGTACACACCGACCGAATCACGTGTATATAAAGGACACCCTCGCGCGCGCGCGCTCGTGTGCGTGCAAGTATATATATCTCGGCTCGCGCCGACGCAGTCGGAAGTACAATGAGCCGGAGATGCGCGAATTTTATCGTGTGTATGTATATATAACATTTATTCCTATGGGCCGCCATCGCCAAACCCAGTTCGATGTATATGCGTATAGGCGCATAAATAGCACACAACACTTGACTCGTTGGCGCGAGGGCCGTGGTATTATATTATGTATGCGTCGCATTTATGTGTATCATAACACGCTAAAGCAGCGACTGCTGCTGCTGCCAGAGATATAGAGGGAGGGCGACCCAGGGCGAGAGAAAACTTTTTCGTTCCAAGGGTAGTATTTCCTTTCTTATTCCCGCTCTTTCTTTCCATATTTTTCCTTTTATACGTTCTCTGCTTCTTTTTTCCACGAGATTCAGACAAGACAGTCAAAAAATTGAATAAATATACGATTCCTATAATTGTTTAGACAAACTCAGACGGAAGTTTTCAATTTTACAGTGACAGGAGCTTTATAGTGCTTCGTCGAAATTTAATAAATATAATAGACAGCCGTGCCGAAAGCTCGAACGACCTTACACAGCCGTTGATTATACATTCACGATATTCAATCTGTCGTTTCGATATCGGCTGTATATTAGCGCGAAACTAATATACGAGTACCGTTATGGGGGATTATATCGACTCGATCAATTCGCAGGTGCGGGTAGAGAACGCGGCTTATATTTTCATTGATCGTAAGTTTTAATATGTAATAATATTATTATTAAAACGCACGAGAGTCGTATTAACGAAAGCTCATAAGCTTCTGGGACCCTGAATTATTTCCACGTGTCGGACCAACGCAACTCGTTCGAGTTCGTGTATACTTTACGTATAGAACTATTGATGCGTCACGCATCTCCGTCGTCGGTGAAAAAGACCAAGAGAATTTTGAAAAAAGAAGCAACGATGCAGGGTCTGCATCATTGTCTTGATACATATGCACTCCCGCTCAGTATAACACGTCTCACGCGAGTAATCGTTTCTCGTCTAATTCTCCTTCTTCTTTTAGGGGCCGGTTATGAATTCTACCAACTCATCGTCGTCGTCGTCGCCGTCATCTTCGTCGAGCTTTAACCTCGACCTTTTTCAATTAAGCACGCGTACGCACGCAATTATCTTTGGTTCTTTTTTGCTCTCGCTCGTCTTTCTCTCTTCCTCCTTCGCATATATATACGTATTACCCTTCGAAAAGCTACGCGCGTGTACATGCGTTTACGAATAATTGATGCTTCGTATCTAGGTGAGCGAGACATGCATATGTACGTGCGGTAAAATACAAGTTGTATACGCGCGAACGATGAATCGAGTGGGCTTCTGCTGCTTCTGTTAGCTCCTATACATAGTTCGACACGGTACTTGCACCAAAAGCTCTAAAAGAGTCGAGCATCGTCGGAACGAAAAGCTATATTATTAATCGCGCCTCGATGTACAAGAGCTCTACATCGAGCGGTTATTGAAAACCTTTAGCTGTAGTGGATTGAATAATGAATAGCCGCAAATAAAAAGGATCGTATCGGATGCGATCGAGCTTTTACACCGTGTGTTTGCGTCGTGCAATGCCGTATTTAGAATATAGAAATACGACGTTTAGAAGTTGAAAATAAGATTTCGGATCGAGTTTATACCCACTGCATATCGATTAGTCGGCATCGGTTAGACTAATGGCATACGTAATATCGCGCAGGTACATATATATATATATGCACAACGTTTGATCTACAGTCGAATTTGATGTGCACTCGCTGCTGCGTGGGTCGCGCGAATGAATCAAGGACACGTCGCGGCTCGGCTGGCACACGGCTCAGCAGCGCGCACAGCCTTAATATAATACACAGCCTCCCACTGCGGCTCCCGAAATCGATATTTACCGGGATCGCGCAGGATACATGTTTATATACGCACGAGCTCGCGGAATATTCCAATATTTCGACAATTTGGCCAGGCGTGTCACGCGTCG